TCTGGTGCAAATTACTGACCTCTGTCATCATTTTAAGTGGGGGAACTTGCACAATCGGTGGCTGACTAAATACTTTTTTGCCCCACTGTATATAGCGCTTTTCTACTCTTCTGAGCACTCAAAGCGCTTTACACAACTTGTGCATTCACCCATTCACACAAGCACATTTTTCTAGGTGCTTTCTAAGTAACATTCTCTCTCTCACACACACACACACGCGCACACTCCGATGAACGCATCGGAGAGCAATTTGGGGTTAGTATCTTGCCCAAGGATATTTGGCATGCAGCCTGGGGGAAGCCAGGAATTGAACCACCAACCTTCCGATCAGTAGACGACCCGCTCTACCGCCTGAGCTGCAGCCACCCTATTTTATTGCTATTTTATTCAGTTTGACGAATGAATGATGAGTGTAAGCAGGTAAGAATGTATGTAAGCTCTGCTCCAGTGGTAATGCATAGGTACAACAATACGCTTTAACTTTATAGTTTGGTCACTTAATTCAATTCAATAAAACTTTATTGATCCTGAAGGCTGACCCCAATGGAAATTGGGTTAAGGCTGCCGACCTTTGCCAGCGCCATCTTACCCTTCTGACCATACATACATGACACAAACATCACATGGGGAAGACAGGTCAGAGAGGCATAACAATGGAAAATGCACCACATGAGGAAAGATAAGGAGAAAAAAAATAACTCCCCCCAGACTGAGCTCCAACAGGGAGATCAGTTTGAGAACAGAAAAAAAACACCTCTGCACATGAAAAAACTCTTAATACACGAAAGAAACACATGACAAGCAACAGGGATGGGTAAAGGGTGAGAGACAGCCAGTGTAGACAGCACATCCAGGCCTGCGTGCGCTGGTCTCCTTGATCCACCGTCAGCATCGGAGGGGAATAAGCGTCGAAGGCGTTTGGAGGGGGGAGGAGTGTACATCTGCATGTGTATATATGTCTGTGTAAGCGTTTGCGTGTCCAGAGTTCAGCTGAGACAGTGTCCTCCTCCCTGCCAGGCTAAGTAAACAGTCTTCCAGCCAACCCAGGTGGCCTTGCATGGAGTGGGAAGAACAGTCTAAACACAGTCGTTATCAGGGAGTTGTTGTTCGGCTCCAGCCTTGAGCCCACGGCTGGGGCCGAAGGGGTATCCGCATAAGTGATGGAGGTTTTTAGTTTAGTGCGAACAGCTCATATGAATTTCAAAGCTGTTCTAACACTCCGACACTGGTCTCTCAATCTCCCGTTGGAGAGCCGTGAGCTTCTCCATGATGTTATCAAACTTGCGCTCCGTGATGTTGTCATTCTTGTGCTCAGAGAGCCGATTCTGAGAACTCAAAGACACGACGTCGTAGTCTCACTCCAAGCGCTTTATTTGTTACGCCATTTTTCTCCACACCAACAACAACCCTTCGCGGGCAACAGTACTCTCGCAGTAATAACAGAAAATAACAAGTTAACAACGACCGCAGTGAGCTTCTCCAAGATGTGATCCAATTTGCACTCAGAAGTCTTATTCTGAGTATTCACAGCAGCCGTAAGCTTCTCCAAGATCTTATCCATGCTGCACTCAATGAGCTCATTTTGAGAAACTCACGCCTCTTCCCATCGTTTGAATCCCAGCGGGCAGCCTTGTGGGGGTTTGAACAGCCGGTTCCGCTTTCTTAATTCTTCGATAAGTCAGGGCCAAGCCAGCTCCGATCAGCCAGAACCCTGTTACCATGGTTCCGAACAGGTAGATCTCTTCAGCACTCAGGCTCACCCGAGCCCAGACTTCTCGTTGAGAAAGGGGTGTCAATTGCATTCAGGGACCAGTTGATCAAATCCATAATTCCTCTTTTAGGTTTTAGAGAACAGACTGTGAGAGAGTGTTCCAGGGAAAAGTAATACAAAAAACACGAGAGTAAACAAGGACACAAGAGGCTAAGCAGGGAAGCTAAGGGAGAGGAGAAAAGTGCGACTGCCTTTGTTAAGAGCAAAACTCTTTGAATGCTGTAAACACACCGTGTTTGGGTGGCTGCATCCCAAAAACACCACAGCAACACTGAAGTCTGGAGGTGGGAGCATTATGATTTTGATGTTCCCAAAAAAATGTGTGATTGCTTAGAAAAGTTATGCATAAAAACTTTATAACAAGCTGCAAAAGGGACTGAGCCATTAAATCTAACTCCAGGAAGGATGAATGGAGACATTGTTGATTAAAATCTGCTGCCATCTACCAGGATGATGAAGATGAAACAAGGATGGATGTTTCAGCAAGACCATGATCACAAACACAGCCAATGGAAACTGTTGGTTTCAGAGGAATCAAGTAAAGCTGCTGAACGGCCCAGCCAATCACCTGAGCTGAATCTGTGGAAGGATCACGGAGCATTAGGGATTTATAGACTGTTTGTGTGGTGAGTGGGTCAAAGTCATGAGCAATGATGGGACTGGTTTCTCCATACAGAAGCTGCCATGAACTGTCATCACCAACATTTGTATAAAGTAATAATAAATGTCTGTGTGTTTAATGTCCCTGTGTTACCGACATCTGGTGATAATTTCACATCAAAGCACCTTTAGAAATATATTTGCTTAGAGAACTGCTGACGTGTTCAATACTTATTTTACCTGCTATAAAATGAAAATGTTAATATGTGTGACATCTTTAAAATCAAAGCAGCACGAGCCTGTGAGGTACCCACCCACAAATAAGATGGTTATTTTCCCACCGCTAACGCAACTCAAGGACAAACTCCTGCCAGAGGTGTCCAACAGCCCGCAGCCCACCGTAGTAATAGTTGACCAGACACACACACAGAGCCAGACGGTAGGTCAGACTGTCACTGGGGCTGACTTCAGCTGGTGGAAAAGCTTCTACAACGAGGGAAAAGACCAGCATGAAATCAAACAGCAGGACACCAAATTTAATACATTCTAATAAAATCCTGACAAAGTACTGACAGCACTGAGCCTGTCTTCACTCTGAAACTTATATTGGACCTGACCTGAGTGTAACCTTGAGTGTGCGAGTGGTGAAGAGGCAAACATACATAATCAGAGGTTTTCCCTTGCTCCGATGTCCCACTGGAGTTGGACAGCTGAGTGTTATTCTTAAAGTCAGACTTCTCCACAGCAGCATCTGGAAACAGATACTGAGACACAAACACAAATAAATAAGTCTGTCATTTAGAAACTCTGTTGTTTTATAGATGTTAGAAGAATTAAACAAGTGGAGCTCACGTAGTCATCACTTCATGATAAAACACAGGATGCTGATCGCTCAGTGGCAAAAGCAGGATGTGACCAGAAGTAGACAATAAAAATAAGAACGCTGCTGATATCCTGTTTAAGATGACGCTCTTGTGCTTTACTGAGCTGCTGTCAGATGGGATCAATATCTGTGGCCAGCACTCTAAGACATAAATGCAATTACGGCTGTAGTTTTAAGATTCAAGGTTGTCTTAGCTCGAGCTCGAGCTGCTGAGTGTGACGGGCTCAACAGTAACCAGGAAGGAAAAACTGTTTGTGACAAGAAGCAGAGGAGCCACATCAGTACGAGTCAAACTACCACACGGAGGAAGTAGGAGGCCCACACAGAGAACAATGAGGAAAAAAAGACACTTTATTTGTCCTTGATTATGTTCTTTCTATCGGTAGCTTGATTACATCCATCTTATCTGCTGCGTATCATTTGGAGCATGAATTTTAGCCTCTTGGCTTAGAAATAGTTTCCTCTGTGCTGTTCGGACAAAAAACAAAGCCATAAAAAGTCTTCACACATCACACAACAATGTGTATGTTTGTAATGGATCCAAGTGTATTAGCAACCAGAAAAATACACTGACCTTAATGTAGTATGTAGCGGTGTGTTTGAAATCTGTACTGACTAGTAAAACCTCTGTGGTCTGCCCCAAAGCATCATGGTCTCCGTTCCTGAGTGTCCCACTGATCAGTTTAACTTACCCAGTAAACACTGAGGATTTTCAGCCGTCCTGACTCGAACTGACCAGTGAGGAGCTTGAAGAGGGTCGAGGTCACTGTTGGGTGATAAACAGAGTAAACAGTAGAGGAGAGTTTCTGATACACTTTTAGTTAAAGGGTTTTTATAAGTAATGAGTCATGTTTGATTACATGTGACGTAGTCCTTCACCAGTAATCAAGATAATTACACATGTAAGCATTTCCTTATGTCACACTCAGTTTGTCCCTTCATGCTTGTTAGACCTGTGCCAGCTCTGTTTGGGCCTTACAATCAAACCCATGTACGTTTACCCTTTTAATAAACTGCTCCACCCATTTCCTACTTTACGAGTGAAATATGAAGCAATGCAGTGTGTACACGGATGCAACACTCAGTGCTCAGCGCAGCGTTTTGTGTGCTATAGTGCAAGTGAACAGCTCACTCCCATCAAAGCTTTTCCATTGGATCGTTAACACAAACACCAAATGTCAGGAGGACATGCGCCTCAAACTGGAGTTGTCTTTCTAGCCCGGGTACTGTGTTATCCTTGTCTGTATACCGAGCTTCTTATTAATAATCAGCTCTGCACAGGAGCAGAAGCAGAGTCCAGCCTGTTGCTCTTACAGTATAATACTCATAATAAAAGTACAGTAACCGTGGTTAGTCACTGAGCAGCCCGGTGCGTTTCTCTTGATTTCTTTAGTCAGGGTAAATTCATTCACCTGCACGGGTTAGCTAAACGAACTTTACAAAACAAGTTTCCCCGACAGCCGAGTGCTCACCTAAGGACCTAAGTTACGGATTAGCTTACACACACATTTAACTTACCGAAAATAATACGGTGGGGCCTCAGGTCCTCCTGTCTGGTAGTCCAATTTACTGAAGAACACCTCAGGCTGTCACTTTGAAATAGCCGGTAATGTGAACGCTGGACCTCTCAGCATCTGCCATTCCCGAACAGACACATGCAAGTTTGTCCGTGACTGCAGCCGCGCTGTACATTTATTTCAGTTTCAATATTTTTTTCGGTTTCATTTCAAGGTGGCATCGTTCTGATCCCATACACACACAAATTGATTTACAAGTACAAAATATTTATGAGCACAATTTGAGCCCATATACTCTCTCTACCACAGCTGCCTTTGAACTTGCCTGGCCAGGTCTGAGTCCAGCTTTGCTACTCCTGCCAGGTCACATGACACAGGGGTGTGCTCTGATGTCGGCAGGCAGGTCAGTGGAGCCCTCTGGTGGTGGATATATGGCAGTGAAACAGGAGGAGGCCTGAGAACAGACAGCAGGCTTAACTAGCAGGACAAAGTAGCATGTAGTACTTGAAGGGTCATCAAGCCAATCAGCTCTCAGGAAAATGGAACATCACATAAATATTTCTCTTCTTTGATTTTCATCAATGTATTTCCTTTGATAGATTTTCCGTCAACACTTCTGCTTGATTAGAAGCTCATAGGCAGTTCCTGTCACTCTACAATAAAACAATGTAAAGGCTGCGCTCTCTGCCCTCCCTAATTTGACATATTTTGTTGTTTTGTGTGTGTTTTGTTGTGTGAAGTTTTGATGTGTATGTGAAAAACACAATTTTGGAAACACTGGAAAAGACCTCAAGACATGTTTTCTTTACTTTCTATGAAACAACAATTCCCACCAAGGCTTTTCAGTGTGAAATTTAGTGTATAGAAATACCTGTGCCAGGTTGTCTCCATCTAGTGGTGAACATGGCCTCACCACTACATCAAGTGAGCTTTTCACTGTGCACAGTGACACAAAAGTCATTTAACAATTTTAAAAAAAGCAATGTTACAGATTCAGTAAGAACTGAAGTTTATCATAATCCTTCAAGTTTCACTCAGTAACAGCAGCTTTTTAATATTATTGGCTATATTTTAGAGTCACATTATATGAATGTCAAACAATCACAGAGTGACACTGAACTAAACAATCAATGCCATGTGAGTTGTTCTTGTTTGTTCTTTATCTCGGATTTATTGTAAGCAGCGGGAGTAAAGCTAAAGAAAAATAGTAAAGATATGAATGAATCTCTGCTCTTACAGCTTTTATTGTGCCATAATGTCTGCTTTGAAACTGTCCTCTTGCTCGTCTCTTGGATGCTCACCTCTTCTTCATCTTCTGTTCCTTTCACCAAACTGCTGCACTCTCGTTCTCTGCTCTCGCCTCCTCTTCTGGTTATAATTAGGATGCAGTCAGCATGTGCCAAACAAACTCCCCCCAAATCGATCATGTTTGATATGATGATGACGTTTTTAACATCTTATTTATGCACTTGTTGGGTGGGAAAGAGTAAACAAAGATGGGGCATAGAAGCAGAACTGAGTCCTACGTGTGGCGGGACAGTAACTGTGTGTGTATATGTAAGCATTTAAACACTGCAGAGAGTCAAATTAACAGTAACACTATTTTGTCTAAGTCCGCCATTGTAGAAATTCATTTCACCGAAACAATAACATGGCGCACAATGTGACATAAACGTATAAAACACAATTCTTACCTAGCAGGAGAATAAATAATCAGTATTTTAAGGCTACTGCATGTATAGATGTCACTGCTGCTCACATAAGCTAGCTCTGAGACCCGCCAGAGTTTACGCCACAGTTGACTGTCGCGAAAGAGTCCGGTAAATTCCAGGGCATGTTATAAAACACCCAATAGATGTACTGGATATTAAACGGTATCAAACGACTAAATGAACACAGGGTTACAATTACATGCTCACATCGTCACATCGAGAGTTTATTCATTAATCATCAGAGTTCAACAATGTTATCCAGTTGAAAACAGCTTCACTAACGCCAGCAAAACAGGCTAACAGTATATAAGAGCACAAAACAGCCGTGCTCATCAACAGCTCGACATATCCTCAACACTCACCTCAGTATGTGTAACCCGTTCATGTGTTACGCCTGTTGTTCTTGCGTTGTGTTCTGGCGTGAAAGTAAGAGGCAGGAGACAGTACTGGGTCTTTGGCTCTTTACTGCACATCTGCAACACAGAACATGTGTCTGATCTGTGTGTGTCACGCGACTGCCAGTACCCTCTCCTCCGGCCATGCTGAAAGCAGCTGTGTCTGCAGCTTCATTAACACTACAATAATATAATGATCAAATACAACAAATTGTTTTAAAACATTAACTTAAGCTCTCAAAAACAAAAAGCACAAATAAATATATGTCACTGAAAAAACATCAAAAACAACTTATAAGAACAATAAACAAAATAATTCAAAAACAAATAAACAGTCAGATAAATACATTCAATAACCAGGACCCAATATTCTGGTACTTATAGTTCAAACATTATACTTCAGTACAATTATATTAATAACCGCCATCTAACAGGCAATACAACACTGTACTTATAAAAACAATGAATGAAAGACAGCATCTCCAAAACATAAGAACATCTCCATACCTGCAACACAGAAATATGTGTCTGATCTGTGTGTGTCACGCGACTGCCAGTACACCTCTCCTGACGAAGGAAAAAGAGTGCATGCTGTTAAAAAAAGACTGCCGCGAGTAGCCGCTAGCAATCAGGCTAACTTAGCATGCTAGCATTTTAGCTGCGTTCTCGGCTAAAACTCATAAGCGTATATTAGTGAACTCCGCCCTCCACAAACTTATCCGAATGAGTCTCTTAATGACAAACAAAAACGCGGCGGTTTGGCTGTATTCACATTGCAGCTTGGGATCTGAACAAACTTTAATTAGCTGAGAGCAACGTGGCAGTGACTTACCTCCGGCCATGCTGAAAGGAGCTGTGACCGGGCACACATGCACGCGCCTACGTCACCACGCAGCGCACACACACATGAACGCACTATACACATATGCAGCATATTTATATTACTTGGTTTTAGAGTTGGAGTATTTACATATTGATCTGAAATATTTTGCTGCTGAGCAGCAGAGCTCCAAAGCGTCCCCCTGTAACCATGGTTACGCAGATGCATTCCGACTGTCACGTCACCGAGGAGAACCTGTTTCAAATGTATACCTGGATCAACCTGCAATCAGTTTGAAAAGTTTTCTGCTGAGATCCGCAGCTCGACTTCCTGGCACCCCGGGATAAGATGAGTTGCTGTGTTTTTCACGGAGAAAAAATAACGTCAGTGTTAGATGAAAAAAAAAAGATGCAAGCAGAAGAGGACAGCAGATTGAAAGAGATTTATTCAAACGGTAAGGAGCTTCTAACAAGTGATATCTGATAAGCTTAAAACTTAAATCTTAAATCTAATGTCCAGATTCATGCTAAACTTTTCTGATTACTCCGTGTATCTGCACCGTTAGACTTTTCATCGCCACTTTACGGTAACATACTGGCGTCACTGCTGCCAGCGTCATATCGTGACGCCGTGTTACGGTAGCTTACCTTTCTGCAGGATGATACCGTTTTTTGCTGGTGTGGTATAATACTCTTGGACAAATTATGGTAACGCACCGTAGCCTTTTTTACGGTATCTCACTGGCGACAGTTATGTCAGTGAGATACCGTTATGTCGTTATGTCGTAAATTACGTCAACAAAGTAACATCATACTGTGATTAATAAATTGGTATACTACTGTTTATTCACGGTATGTCACTGTAAGCCCGCTGCAAGGTAATAAACTGCAATATATTAACCAGTAACTTACCGTTGGTACGCCATCAGTACCAAAATATTCATCTCTGCTAGAGGACACCGTGTCCTAACAGGCGGTCATTTACTCTGTACAAAACTCTGTAAAAAACCCAGGAGAAATAAAGACACAATGAGACAAGTTCTTTTCTTTATCAAACGTTACACGGGTGAGCTGCTAGAACAACTCACACCATGCACAGTGGCTTGGTAATTTTTTATAGGCACAGAGCACAGAGACAGTGAGAACAGGATAACAAATAATAAACAGATAATAAAACAACTCATATATGGTGCTAGTCTCGTCAGCAGAGAGCTAGGGAAGATAAACAATCTAAAACAATATGTCCCAGAAACAAGATGTGTTTGCTGGGAAAGTCTAAAAGATAATTCTAACTAACCTAACCATAGGCAGAGGGCAGACAAAAGGCATCTTTGTACATTTAAAAGAAGGTAAGAAACACAGAATCATTTTTCCTGTACATTCCCTCCTGTTTTAACTTATGTTAATGTATACAACAATTGTCTGTGAAGGTTATTTATTAAGTATCTTAAGCAATTTTTTTAATTTTAAAATGTCATTGTTAATATTATCCTCTTTGTCTCATATAAAGCAATAGCATATTATAATTTTATCAGGTGTACCATTATACTACTACTGAGCCAATTGATAGTTAGGATCACTTATTCAGCAACAGATAATTTTGAATTCATCCAATCTGCGGTCACATTCGTTCTCTCTGTTGCATGGCGGACAGGCGTTCTATTATAATATATTATTTATATTTTATTTTGTATCCATCAAGGGTTCAGATGACCTGCAGAATCATCCTTTCCCAAGGTGGAGACAGTTACCTTTTCACACACTGTCCTTGGCTGAACAGTGACACAGCCTTAATATACCTTATTTATGTTATTAAATATTTCCGTGTGAATTATTTGCTTTATATTCATTTTACATTGTGGGCATGGTCATCATGCCAACTGTGTTTCATTGATAATATCACTTACAGGTTGTTATCCTTGCTAATTTACCGTAATTTCAGCTAACAGTAACATACTGTAAGAGACTGGAGGGTTCCAAAAATTGGATGGATGGACACACACACACACAACACAACACACACCACACACACACACACACAACACCACACACACACACACAAAATTAATTCATGTGCTTTACACCACTTTATTTCAATTCTGATTCTTCCCTGCTGAAATACACATTTCCAAATCAAAACTGAAAAGAACTGAAAACATATTTTCATTGAGGAAGCACTTGTTTTTTACTAAACCATGTAATCCATTATTTTCTCAGATGGTTGTACAAACAATAACAATATATGTCATATCCATATCATGGCAGACAACACATGCTCAAGTGTTGGGTTTCCTTACTTATATTTTGTAGGGTCTCAAACCTACAATGTGAAGTGCCTTGGCATTCATTTTGTTGGCACCATACAAACAAACTGAATTGTAATGGATATAATCAAGCCCCACACGTCTGCCTTTATATACACTTTGTCCAAAATACTGGCTCACACGACCAAATCATTGCACAAAACAGGGTCCACAAGGACATGGATGAGCGTGTGTGGTGTGAGGAACTTGACTGACCTGCACTGAACCCTGATCTTGCTTTGTGGACTGAGTTCATTGATTTGTAGGGTGAGCCAATACATGTGACAATTAAAGTGTAAGTAGCTGAAATAATTTTTAACAAACGGGTAAAAGAAGGTTAGCACTGTTGCCACACAGCAAGAAGGTCCTGAGTTCAATTCCACCATCAGGTCTTTCTGTGTGGAGTTTGCATGTTCTCCCCGTGTTTGCGTGGGTTCTCTCCGGGTACTCCGGCTTCCTCCCACCGTCCAAAGACATGCAGCTTGTGGGGATAGGTTAATTGGATAATACAAATTGCCACTAGGTGTGAATGTGCGAGTGAATGTGAGTGTGAATGGTTGTCTGTCCCTGTGTGTTGGCCCTGCGACAGACTGGCGACCTGTCCAGGGTGTACCCCGCCTTTCGCCTATGACAGCTGGGATAGGCTCCAGCGCCCCCCGCGACCCTGAAAAAGGATAAGCGGAAGTGAATGGATGGATGGATGGGTAAAAGAAGGGAAAAAATCAAAACTGTTGCACTCAAAAAAACCTATTGGACAGAGACAGCGTCTTGCGATGGCGAGAGCTTTCTCATTGTTGCTCGTCTTGTGTAAATGTCCAGAAAGCATGGGCCATGGATCATCTGTGGAGACATGGGTAACAACACATTGGTCACTTAAATTATACAAGAAATTTACTAATTTCCCTAATTTGAAGTTCTCCACTCAAATTCAGTAAGCCACTGGAGGAAAGTTGTGACATGAGGGTTAATGTGAACAACCTTTCGCTTCACAGTGGTCCCAGTCTTCCTGCTTGTCCCAACCTTGGAGGTACATTTTGTTCCCTCTTCAGGGTTTATCCTTACAAAAAACCTTGCACCCGCTGACTCCTGGTATTCCAGGTTCAATACATAGAATGAACCAAAGAAGACTGACATTGCATCAGCACAGTGTTCTCTTTGTCCAGCTCAACAATTACACGCCCCTCTGCACTCACCATCCAGCAGGTGGCGGTCATTGAACTTTGTCCTTAAATGTATAGGGGCAACATGTTGTCATTATGCAACATAAAATAATTTCAATACTTCACTTCTTCACACTGTCTAGATAGTCATAAAGCAAATAGCTACGTACAGTTAATTATTAATGGCCTTGTGTACATAGGTCCATTTTAACATATTATAATTGTATATAATTGGGAATTATTCTGCACATTAAACACACCTAACAAAGAGTCAGCCCAGTTAAAGTACCGGAGGTGAATCAACTGTATGGTTATTTTGGAGTTTATAGTTTGTGCTGCTGTTAAACTTTACAGTATTGACTTCAGTATTTCTGCTGTTGGTGTAGCTAGACTACTGTTGATCAGTAATATGTAATGTGAAATTTGATATTGTTACTTTGCTGGATTCACTGAGACACATGTCCAACAACCTTGGTTTATAAAGGAAATTACAGAAATTTGAGCTAACAAAACAGAGACTGGATACCTGTGTCCACGAAAAGCTCCTGTGCCAAACAGAAATTTTAATATGGTCTAATCAGCTCTATGTCATAAATGACTTCTTACCAAGCATAATCAGCCTGGGGTGCTTGGCAGGCTTTTAACATGCAAACTGAACAATATAAATTTGTGTGCACTGAAGCCACAAATTTCGGGGCCTGGGGAGCGAACACCCGTACAAAGGGTGGCCAGGCGGCCCGGTCCGGGTTTTTTCTTCTTTTCTTCTTTCTTTCACGCGCCTGGTGGGCGGTGCCACCCCATCACAAGGGCTGGCAAGGCTTTCGGAGCCTGGGGAGCGGACACCCGCACAAAGGGTGGCCAGGCGGCCCGGTCCGGGTTTTTTCTTCTTTTCTTCTTTCTTTCACGCGCCTGGTGGCGGTGCCACCCGATCACAAGGGCTGGCAAGGCTTTCGGAGCCTGGGGAGCGGACACCCTCACAAAGGGTGGCCAGGCGGCCCGGTCCGGGTTTTTTCTTCTTTTCTTCTTTCTTTCACACGCCTGGTGGGCGGTGCCACCCGATCACAAGGGCTGGCAAGGCTTTCGGAGCCTGGGGAGCGGACACCCGCACAAAGGGTGGCCAGGCGGCCCGGTCCGGGTTTTTTCTTCTTTTCTTCTTTCTTTCACACGCCTGGTGGGCGGTGCCACCCGATCACAAGGGCTGGCAAGGCTTTCGGAGCCTGGGGAGCGGACACCCGCACAAAGGGTGGCCAGGCGGCCCGGTCCGGGTTTTTTCTTCTTTTCTTCTTTCTTTCACACGCCTGGTGGGCGGTGCCACCCGATCACAAGGGCTGGCAAGGCTTTCGGAGCCTGGGGAGCGGACACCCGCACAAAGGGTGGCCAGGCGGCCCGGTCCGGGTTTTTTCTTCTTTTCTTCTTTCTTTCACACGCCTGGTGGGCGGTGCCACCCGATCACAAGGGCTGGCAAGGCTTTGGAGCCTGGGGAGCGGACACCCTCACAAAGGGTGGCCAGGCGGCCCGGTCCGGGTTTTTTCTTCTTTTCTTCTTTCTTTCACACGCCTGGTGGGCGGTGCCACCCGAT